CCTGGCAAATTAAAATCACCAAGAACTATCATATGGTCTTTATCTGATAGCGAGGAAGAAACAGTTTTTAAAGCGGTCAGGTGATGCTCGTATATTAAGATATCCGAGGAAGGTGGAATATACGAGCAAGTAATGAAAATGGAAAAGCCTGGGAGAATCAGTTTTACGCACAGGAATTCCAGGTCTTGTTGAACCTGGACCATGAAATGTTCCGACGTGAAATTTGAGTCCACTGCAATAAGGACCCCACCTCCACGTCGAGACGAACGGTCATTTCTAAAAATTGTGTACCGACCTGCCAAAACTTCGGAACTAAGGATGTCCGGCTTTAACCAGGTCTCGGTGAACACAATAACGTGGGATGAGAATGCGAGACTCTCAAGGAAAAGAGTGCTGAGCTTACTACGCAAGCCTCTAGCATTCTGGTAGGTAACTACAAGAGAGGAAGTTAGTTTTTTGGATGGGTGGAAGTAGAGGTGGAAGATGAGGATAGAGATGGAGCACTGGTCTGAATGCTAGGAAGAGTAATGGGGGGCCTATTCTTTTTCTTAGCCTTAAACTCTTTAACCACCAAATGCTCTGGCCAAAACTTGGCGGAACAAATGGTTTCAAATTGAGTTGGGGAGACGCTTATCTTGAAGGAAGATATCTCCCTGGCGTAAGAAAAGTTAAATTTTTCCACCTTTAAGCGAGACAAAAACTTGTCGCTTTGGTGGGACTCCCACCAGTGGTTTTGGCACCACAGGCCTAGTACCTATGATGGCAGTATCCGGTGGTCCTGGACATCTATTAGCTGGTGGGAGCAAAACTGAGGGGATAGTTAAGGGGTTGGGTGCGGACTCGACGGACACGGACTCTACAGACATTTCTAACTGCATACTCTCCGAAGTGACGCATTCGGCTCCCGAATCTGCATCACCAGCAGCGATCGTTGCCCTTGGAGTAGCAAACGTAATCAACTGCTGCACTAAGGGAGTGGTCGGAGTAAGTTTTTCGGATGCCGGCGGACATGAGGCAGTCGGCACTTGCAAGTCCCGCGGAGTAGACTTCTTGCGCCTCGGAGACTCAGCCAGCAGCTGTAAACTGCTGAACTGAGTGTTCATGGCCAAGAGCCGATCGTACTGCTGTTTAAAGCCCACGATCAGCTCTTTGAAGCCACTCCGCGTCTGCCTCATGAACGAACGCATGTCGTTTTCCACAGCACGGCATTCCTCACAACTATAATGTAGGCCGGGCCCTTGCTCCATGGCAATGAGGAGCTCCGCCGACGCGATCTTGCTTTTATGCAAGTTGAGCTGCAGCACTCTCAGTGTCATGGGAGGCTGGCTCAACTGCACACGACGGGTTGACTATTATAGTCAGGTCACCGTCCTCGTCCTCTGCAGCATCAGAGTCGTCCAGCGCAATATCCTGGGCGGCCTCCACGATGGATCCCAGACCTAGGTCCTTTACCACCTCGCGCAGGGTATGCGCGTCCTTGTCTTCGGGGTGGCGCTTTTTGAGACGTAGGTAGACACTGCCTACGCCCCATGCCATCTTCCCGAATCTCGGGTAGAGTATGTCTTCTGCCTCTTTACTGTTCTGGAGGATCATGTGCTGGCCCCCCTCATTGGGTAATGGGATACCAGCATGCAGGATTCTCCAGTCAGCCGTTGGCACATCCGTGTTCTGCCTCTGGAGGAGTTTCAGTGCTCGGTCCCCCTGGACTGCAATGGGGAAGAGCACCTTCGCCTTTGGGATTGACGGGATCATCTCCCTGTCCACTACCTCCAGCTTGGCCCCCTCCCACAGAGCTTCCAATTTGTGCGCCGTTTGCACCAGCGACTTCCTCGTCGGGTCGTCGTTGCACTTGAGGATCTTCACCCCGTTCAGCCATCCCGCACCGTTGAAGGTTGGCATGGGAGCGTCCGGCGCGTCCTCCATTCGCGCGAAAAGGGATTCCACCAGCTGGGCGTGGACCTGTTTCCACTGCGCCGCCATCATCTTCCCATTTTCATCGCTGCGGTCGATCAGGGCCACGATGAGGTGTCTCTTGGACATGTCACTCAATTTGGCCTTCTGCTTGGGCTTCTTCGTCGTAGGTTGAGGGATAACCACCTTGGGCCCGCGTTGCCGCTTGCTCGCCGGAGTGTCCTTTGCACTCTCGATCGAGCGTTGCCTTTTGGTGGCCATCATCACCTCAACCTTAATGGCGAATTCGCCCTTCGTCGCCTTCATCTGAGGCAGCTGCGCGTAGTGAAGACGCCTTTCTTCTACCTTTTGCATAGCCCATGCTAGTTTGGACTTCTCCTCTTTGGAGATGTCCTCTTTGCCTTGTAGCCGGCTTTGGATTTTGAGGGCCGCCTTGTATTGGGCCTTAGCCTTCATCCGCCATATTATAGTTGTGACCGCTGGCGACACGCAAAAAGGATGGCTCCTCCCCGTGCCCGCCGGTGGTAGCAGTCACGCTCTTCACCGACGTTTGGACTGACATCCCAGTCCCTGTTCGATCCTTATTCCGCTCCATGTGGTTAATATTTATCGTGGGGACTTTTTACACTGGGCGCGTCTGCTATCGATATCGGAATAGACGCAATGAAGCAGAAAAGGCGTTTACATTGGAAGACGCGCATCTTGTATTTTGTTTTGGGTGCTTGATGACAAGGAAAGTAAACAAATTTTGAGAAATCAACAGAATTATGCAAGACGACAAGAAAATGGACGAAAGAGAATTGATTCTTATATTTATTTATTATTTTCAGACATTTCTTTGTATAGTTTGTGGGAGTTCTTCTTAAAATTATAAAAACCATCGAAGTTCGTCTCCAGCAGTGTCATAATGGCATCAGGGGATCACAAAAATGTCGTATGATAATAATACAATCAGTTTCAAGTATTTTATTTCATGATTTTATGTATATTTTCACCTTTTTGCACAACCATTCATTTTAGCGCCAAAATTTGATTTTTTAACTACAAGTTTTTGTTGTTCTTAGAGGTGATAGTTGCGCTGATAGGCAGAAAAATGCAAAAATGTGCAGTTAAGCGCAAAAGCAATCGAATATATCGAATATACGCACATGAATCAGAGACCGACGCAACTTTTTGCCACCACTAGGGCCCTATGCTTAACCTATGTAAAAAAAACTGCGTCTTCGCCAAGACGCAAAGAAGCATGACGCAGTCCCAATGTAAACAGCCTATGAGTCAACATAAACGCCACCAGAGTTAGCCAGAAGCTAGCTGCTACGGGAACCACTGTCTTATTTATTCTTGGCTCTCTATACTCTTTCTTTTTGTATTTGCCTCCTTCTAAGATGATTTCTGGCTAGTAAACTGCCATATGGCATTTTTCTTTAAAATTTGTTAAATTTAGGATGGAAGCAATTTATTTTTAATTTATAATGAAAACAATCTCTCAGGTCAACATTTCTAGAGATTTCTTCGGTACCCCTGTTTATTTCAATTTTTCCCAAAATAATGTAAGCTTTATATCTAAAGCGTAGTACTCAGATCCAAAAACTGTTTGCCAGCAAATGTCATATATTCTTCGAGAGGAGAGTAATTTGACCAGAGGTGTGCACTGCATTCCGAACGGTTACACTGCTCACCCCGCTGCTTGGTTTTGTTTAAAGTTAATAAAATGCACTTCTTCGGCTGGGGTCGCTTTTCCTCAGGCATATCCTGGGCTCCCCAATATTTTATTGGCAAGGTAATGTGTCTGACTATCAGCAGCAGCAGATGGCGACGCCACCCGTGCCGGACACCGTGAAGAAAAAATGTTTTGAAAACAATATTTGTTTTATATTTATGGGAATTAATAAAAATAATAATTTATAATATCCATATAATTGTCATTGATATAATACTGCATTAACTAGATTCTATTTGTCTTCATTATTAAAATATTTCAATTGGTTTTTTGTTCTCTTATTGCAATGTTTGCTTCGTGTTTGCTGGCAAAATATATCAAATTGATATAACTTCGGATACTTTTCTAGTATATACCGACCTTTTTTCTGTTGATCTGAGTACTGCCTTCCGTACAGAGCCTAGAAAACAGTTTTTGCCGCAAAAAATTTCTTATCGTTTTCATACGAATATCAACACTGATTCTGTTCGCGAGGTGTTTTTTTGGATCTGAGCACTAGGCTTGCGGGCCCAACTGCTAATTGGGAATTGGGATCGCGATCAGGTACCAAATGTACAACCCTTTTTCGTTTGCTTTGTTCCCAATTGGCAGTTGGGCCCGCAACCTTCCAAAAGTTATTTTTTGTTCATTTTTTAGGTTTGGCTAACGAGTTTTAGCTCCAAAGTTTTTCCATAGATTTTAATGAGCAATACCTTAAACGATGCCTAATTAATGCATCTAAACACAAAAAAATAGAGGTCACAGAATATAATTTTTTTTTTTCGACTTTTCGTGAGTTTTTAAATTCAAATTTTCGTAAAAAATACCACACAAAAATCATCATTTTTGCATTTCAATGCTGTTTTATCAAGTCATCGATTTATGTTGTATGTGTTTCTGGGGGGGGGGGCCGCCCGGGCGCCCGCGCCCGGCACGATTCGTAAAAAGAAGTAGAATATAATCGCAAATTGGAATTTTGATCGATCGTAAGCACAGTTAATTTTCTTCTCGCCTTTAAATAATTCTTTAAACGCCTCCAAATTAATTTTTAGTTTTTTGTCAGTTAGAAAAACTATTCTAATTTTTTAAATGCTCTATATTTCCCAGACGGTAAGCTGAAATCACAAAGTGTTTGGGCTCAACTTCTAGCTGTTTTAATTATCTTTTCAAAACAGCAAAGTTCTTTACAACCAGACGTAGGATACTAGGGTTATGTGAAAAAAACAATCGCTACCTCTGAAAAAAGCTTTACAAAAAAGTACCAGACTTAAAAAATTCTTCAAAAAAAGTTCTGCCATAGAAAAAAAAAAAATTATCATCAAACCATTTCTAAGCCCTAAATCTTTAAGAAAAAGTTTGTTTTGTTCCTTGAGGAATACTCATACCCTAAATAAATAAATAACTCCTATCCCAAAAATAAATCCTTTTTCGCTCTCCTACCTAATCCTACTTCTAAAATTGCTTCTTTACAATGATAGCGAGGATCTTCAGTCACCGAAAATGACTTTCCCAATACTGATTCCAATCCAAAACTATTACGTCAACAAAACAAATCTTTCTTTCAGGCTTAACTAATTTGGCGAGACGAGAGACAACTGCAACTGCAGCAGGTGAGCGAACCAATCCGTTTCCCTCGCTATTATTTGCCGCTTTCTTTGTTTTTCTCTCTGGAGTGGCAACTCCTCTTACTGTTCCTTTCCAGATCTCAACGATGCTGATGCCCTTCACGGCATCACACGGACAACAACTCGACAGACCCACGATGTCTCTTCCTTTCTTCAGACTCTATCCGTGGACTCCTCGAGTCGGACAACGATTTTTCGAATGCCCATCTGCCACCTCACGTACCACAACTCGCGAAATCCACTCGTCTACTTCTTCTATCCTACTCCCCTCAACGGCTACTTTGGCTCGGGCTTATTCCCGGCTCACGGACCAGCTTAATTTCGTTTCTCGCAGGCTCAGTCCTAAGATGGGTATCTCAAATCCCTCGATCAAAACCGCTACCTTCCGTTTTAAAATTGGGCGTCATTTGTTATGATCCGCCTTTTTGCCGCATTGGTATATCGCTCCCAGCTAGCTCACGGGGAAGTCAGGGAACGAAGACGCTGATGGGACTGTGGATACAGGGGCATCAGTGAGCCTGCTGGAAAAAAGTGGATTGGAGTTAATCGAAGGATTAAAACTGAAGCTTTAGGACGAGAAACCCTTCTCAATACAAACAGCGGGCGGCACACCTCATCAGATTCTGGGCCATGTGACGGCAGTGATGACATATGAGGACCAGAAGCAAACAATGGAATTGTTCCTGTGTCCCTCGTTGAAGCAGGCACTCTATCTGTGGGTCGATTTCTGGCGACAGTTCGGATAAGCTCCGCATATAGTCGGCCTAGAACGGGAAGAGGCACAGCAGATTCGGTTGGACCAGGGGAAAGAGAGGTTTCGGTGTTTTGACAAGCACGGACTGGGAAGAACGACGTTGAAAGGCACGAAATACGCCTCGTCGAGGGATCCGTACCCGTGAAGGAACGCTTTTACCCGATGTCCCCGGCTGTGCAGGAGCTGTTGTTTGCGGAAGTCGACGAAATATTGCGTCTTGGGGTTATCAAACTGAGCGAAAGCCCGTGGAGCATTCGGGTGACTCTGGTCCGGAAGCCTAGGAAAAATCGACTATGTTTAGATGCAAGGAAACTAAATACTTTGACCGTCAAGGATGCTTACCAATTGCAGAGTACAGAGTCAATCCTGAGCCACTTAGAGGACACCGTCTTCATCAGCAGCATCGATCTGAAGCATGCGTTTTGGCAGATAGATCTGGAGCCGGAGAGTAGGACTTATACAGCATTTACGGTGCCAGGGAGGCCACGACCAGTTTAAATTGATGACTTTCGGCTTGTGCAACGCAGCCCAGCGGTTGTGTCGGTTGATGGACCGCGTAATTCCACAGCGACTCCAAAGCCATGTATTCGTATACTTGGAAGACCTGTTGGTGATTTCCCGGACATTTGAGGAGCATGTGAAGCTGCTGCACGAAGTGGCAACGTGCCCGGAGACTGGAATAAGACAATAAGAAAGAAGAAGTCAAAGTTCTGTTATAAGTACCTGAAGTACCTGGGATATGTCGTGGGCGACGGCGCACTGAGGACCGATCCGTAGAAGTGCAGGTGATCGCTCAGATACCGATGCCGAGAAATGTAAGGCAGAGCAGGAGATTTTTGGGTACAGCGGGCTGGTATCGGCGGTTCATCCGTAATTTTTCGGCACTCTCAGCTCCTCTTACAGACTGAAGCAAGCGAGTCTTTTGAAGAGCTAAAACAAGCACTTACCAGCGCTCGAGTGTTACACCACCCAGACTTCAAAAGGTACTTCTTCATATGTGATGCAAGCCATGTAGGAATTGGGGTGGTTCTTTTCCAGAAGCATGAGGAAGGTTCGAACCCCCCCTCGCATTTTTTCGGCGAAGATGAGTGACGCGCAGCTGAACTACAGCGTGACGGAGAAGGAGTGTTTGGTAGCAGTGAAAGCCATAGAAAAATTCCGGGCATATGTGGAGCTGATGCCATTCACGGTGATCACAGACCACGCGAGCTTACAGTGGCTGATGAGGTTTAAAGCCCTGGATGGTAGGCTAGCGAAGTGGTCTCTAGCTCTGCAGGCTTATGACTTTGGAATAGAGCATCGAAAGGGGAATAACGTCGTCGCGGATATGCTGTCTCTTTCGTTCGACGTAGAAGCTATAGACTTCTTGGAGTTCGAGACCACAGCCTTCGAGGACGAGGTTTATCTGAAGATGATAGAATCGGTTCAGAAGGATCAAGACATGTTCCCAGACCTGAAGGTGGAGGATGAGTTACTGCTTAGGCGCACGCAATTTAACCGACCAGAGCTGGAGGAGTTCCAGTGGAAACTGTGGATTCCAGAGGACCTGACGAAGACGTTGATCCAGCAGGCACACGACAGCGATGTGGCAATGCACGGAGGTGTGGCAGTATTATTACTGGCCCCGGATGGCTGTGTAGGTGAAGGCATATGTCGCAGGGTGTGGTACCTGTAAAGAGACGTAACACACGGCGCAAGTTAATCGTCCATTGATGGGGGCCGAGACCGTTACCGAGAGACCAATGCATATATATATATATATATATATAACATATACCTCGACTTTCTGGGTCCACATCCTAGGACACGAGGTGAGAATGTGGTCATGCTAATAGTCCTCGACCACATGTCCAAGTATGTCAGGTTGAAGGCCTTGTCCAAAGCCACTTCATCGGCCGTGATCCGATTCCTGCAAGAGGTCTTCCCTCAGTTTGGCGTTCCAGAAACGGTTCACACTGACAATGAGAAACAATTCGTGTCAGCCGAGTTTACCCAAATTCCTAGGAAAAGGAGCATAACGCATATAAGGTCGGGGAACTATGCACCTCAGGCGAGCGTGGCGGAACGCGTTAATCAAACTGTCCTCGCAGCAATCCGCACGTATGTCAGCGAAGCAGCCGGAGATATAGTGTGCGGCCAGAAGCACCATACATACGAGTATCGGGACGTCACTGTACTTCGTACTGTTCAGACAGCATATGTTCATCAGCGGGCGGGACTACAAATTGGCGCGGAGACTGGGAGCGTTGAACGATGCGCAAATATTACTGATGGCGAGACACGATCAGCAGGAGATCATCCGCAAGGAAGTCCGCAAGAACTCGCATATGGCCTACGAGAGATCAAAGAAGCAGTATGATCGGAGCACGAGATATTCGGTACTTATCTGGACAGGAAGTATACAAGCGAAATTTCATGTTAAGCAGCTTCAAGAACAACGTTAAAGCCAAGTTCGGCTCAAAGTATATTAAGTGCAGAGTGGTCCGTGGAATCGGAAACAACCTGTACGAGCTGGAGACGTTACAAGGGGCACGGTTAGGAGTGCTCCATGCGAAGGATCTCAAACAATAGCCCGGTCATCTCCGTCGGTGGAACATGAGCCTCTCGATCTCAGGGTGTGGGCGATGGCCTACGTTTGGGCTTATAAAATCCAGAAGCCGCCTTGGTTTTGCACTCCCGACGGCAAGACTTGCAAACTGTACTGTGGTTTTATGGACGGCTTGGGATGAACTCGATAGGTGATAGGTTTTGAGAAGGAGAAGAGATAGCGACCTCTGTTGTGAATCCTGGGAGGCTGGAGCAGGGTTGCACTGGAGGAAAGAGGAAACGAGACCATGAAAGGGGAAAAGTTTTAAGCGAGGCACACGTGTGTTGACCAAAAAGAAAAAATAATTTAAAACAAAAAAATAAAAGGAGAAAACACAGTGACCACGAAGGCAACGGGAACGAAGACCGGACACGACGAGGAAACAACGGTGACGACAACGGCAGCAGCAGACACGGCCGACACCAGGCCGGAGAGCCCCTGGAGGAGGACTTTGAGGAGCACGGGTCTGCAGTCCAACAGACGGCAGCCGGATCTACACCACCACAATGGGGACACACCTCGTACACATCACATTAACCAAAACCCGCACATACACATATCCATTAACAAAATCCCAAACGAACACCTTTCCCAGCACAATTCAGTCACACGCACATATCAGTAAGTTACAAAAAAAAAAAAAAGGAAGACTGGAAAAAGAAAGAGTTAAAAGCAGATATAGAATAAAGTCTATTTTAGTTTGGAAAAAATGTAAGCGGTGACTATTTCCCCCCAAACAACACACCCCTCCCCTATTTATTTATTGCACTAAGAAGACTCTTTTTAGTTTAAGATCATTTATTTACTTTAATTTTCAGCTGGTTCATGTCCCTTGTTGTCGATGAAATGGCAACTGGGGCGGAATAGATTTCGAGAGCGGGGAGAAGGGCGAAACCAAGATACAAAAAATGGGATCGCAGATTTTTGGTAACGCTCATTGCTGCCCCGCTAAAGAGAGTGCCAACGAAGCCGAGACCATGGAGAAAGTTTGATTAGTGTTTTGTTGTATGTTTAAGTAAAATTTTTGTTAGATCCGTCCCCTGATTACACTACTCGACAAAATCGAACTTTTTTTTTCCTCAAGGATCCAAACCGACTTTTTCTGATGGATATGGGGATTTAAAATTTTTTAAAGAATTATGGTTTTTTTTCTATGGCAGAACTTTTTTTTGAAGAATTTTTGAAGTCTGGTAAGTCGGAACAAAGCAAACGAAAAAGGGTTGTACATTTGGTACCTGATCGCGATCCCAATTCCCAATGGGCAGTTGAGCTCGCAACCTTCCAAAAGGAATTTTTTGTTCATTTTTTCCATATTTTAGGTTTAGTTAACGAATTTTAGCTCCAAAGTCTCTCCATAGATTTTAATGAGCGATACCTTAAACGACGCCAAATTAATGCACCTATACACATAAAAATAGAAGACACAGGATATAATTTTTTTTCGACTTTTCCTAAGTTTTTAAAGTCAAAATTTCGTAAAAAATACCGCACAAAAATCATAATTTTTGCATTTCAATGCTTTATATTTCCCAGACGGTAAGCTGTAATCACAAAGTGTTTGGGCTTAACTTCTAGCTGTTTTAATTATCTTTTCAAAATAGCAAAGTTCTTTACAACCAGACGTAAGATACTAGAGCTATGTGAAAAAAACAAGCGCTACCTCTGAAAAAAGCTTAAAAAAAAAAAACCAGTTTTCAAAAATTCTTCAAAAAAAAGTTCTGCCATAGAAAAAAAAAAATTTTATCAAACCATTTCTAAGCCCCAAATCTTTAAGAAAAAGTTCGTTTTGTTCCTTGAGGAAAAATCGTGTTGACTAGTGTTATCGGGTCGGAAACACCCCTGACTACCCCGTGAGCTAGCTGGGAGCGATATAACAGGGCGGCAAAAGGGCGAATCATAACATATTTTATACCCGTACTCAAAAAGAGTTTAGGAGTATATTAGATTTGTGGTAAAAATGGATGTGTGCAACGCAGAGAAGGAAACGTTTCCGACACCATAAATTATATATATTCTTGATCAGCATCAATAGCCGAGTCGATATAGCCATGTCCGTCTGTACTTCTTAATGAACGCCTAGATCTCAGAGACTATAAGAGCTAGAGCTACCAAATTCCAGACTCATGTGATATCACACTGCTACAAGTGAATTTCAAAATTTCGCCACGCCCCCTTCCGCCGTCTGAAAAGAAGAAAATCTGTGCCAGCCACAATTTTAAAGATACGATTGAATTTAAAACGCAGTATCATAGAGAATGTCCATATCTGCAATGGCCGAATCTGAATCAGATCGGATCATAATTATATCCAGAATAAAGAAATTAATTTTCAGTTGCTTCCCCCACCTCCTCCAGCAAGAGACCACGCTCTCATTCTCTTTCTCGCACGCACACTCTGCCTCGTTATGTACGCGAGCACCCGCTGGTGGTGAAGGTGTAGAATATAAATGGTACATGTAGAATCTACATGTTAGATGTAGAATATACATTGTAGATGTAGATAACAGATGTAGCAAAAAAATGTAATTGGTGGCCGATGGATAGCTAAGACCTGAACGTCCGACTGGACCACCGTCAGGTGGAGACACCTTTAGAGCGACGGTATATGTGCGGAACCGAATTAGAATATTAAATTATGGAGGCTGAATGACAGCGATGATATTTTAAAGGCAGTCGAACTGAATACTCCCCTGACGCCAAACGTGAAAGTTGGTTTACAAAATGCGCCTCACAAAATACTTCTTTCTTCGTACTCAAAAACAAACTACGAAAAGTTTGATCCTACCTTGCATTCATCCCAGCTTCCTGATCCGGAGAAGTTTGAGTTGCCAAAAGCGACGAGCTTTCTGCCTTCTGTCCACCGCCAGATACGATCCACCCAAGCCGGGTCTTCTCCAGAAGAGACAATGCAACTGTGAGCTTGATTTACCCTAAGCAGAGAAGGTCATAAAATATTCTCGCGTCAATGAGAAGATCTACCCGCTGAGGATTGAAAAAGGCAGGCTGAATATTGGAGAGAATGTTCCAATCAGCTGCATCAGCCAGACTTGGTTGGCTATCGGTAACTGTGGGGCCGATGAGAGCATTGAGTGTGGTCGAATAATCCGAAGTGCGAGTATGCATGCAAGTGCACACGGTGGATCCCTCAGTGGAAACGCAAGTATCGACAAGATTAGAGACAAGGGCAGGAGTTTGAGTTCTTCTAAGCTGAAGCTGCTGGCCGAACCTGGATGTGACGAGATGCAGCTGTGATCTTGAATCTAGAATGGCGGAATAAAAAGCCAGATCGATTTGCTGATTTTTGTGTGGTATTTTTAACAAAAATAAGTTCTGCCATAGAAAAAAAAAATATCATCAAACCATTTCTAAGCCCTAAATCTTTAAGAAAAAGTTGGTTTTGTTCCTTGAGGAAAACTCGTGTCGAGTAGTGTAGGTTGAAAAGATATGTCAAAGGTTTGCATGAGGACTGCGCACAGTGCGAAGGAGAAAGAGAATGAGTAGCGTGGTCGCTGCCAGGAGGGGGCGGGGGAAAAACTGAAAATTTATTTATTCATTCTGGCTATAATTATGATCCGATCTGATTGAGATTCGGCAATCTGGTAGATATGATCATTCTCTATCGTATCGTTTATTTAAAAATGTGCCTGCCACATATTTTCGTTCTTTGTGGGGGCGGAACGGACGGACGGACGGACAGACAGACATAGCTATATCGACTCGGCTATTGATGCTGATCAGGAATATATATACTTTATGGGGTCGGAAACGTTTCCTTCTCTGCGTTACACACATCCACTTTTACCACAAATCTAATATACCCCTTAACCCCTTTTTTGAGTACGGGTATAAAACGCCTCGTTGTAGAATATATATTTATATTGAAAACATTGACTGGATTTAGTAGAGGCAGTCAGAAATGACCTCAACCTTCCTGGCTTCAGTGTTTTCAAAACAGATATCCATTATATTATCTCCTCCTCGTCAAGGTTGTCCTCATCATCATCATCCATGTCCAGCAACATGATAAGCTTCTGCAAGAATATGTTTTGCTGCTAAATCACATTCCCATCCATTGCAATGTTATTTCTATTCATTTTCATTATAAATGTGAACAAATTTTCACTGCACGGAATTGTGAGCATCTGCTGCTTCTCATGGATGGTGGATGGTCTCTGTGTGAATCGGTGTTTCAAATCTTTCAAAAATTCCCACCATTACCCCGGGATGGGCTCAGTGTGCAGAGGAGACATACGGTTGTCACTGAAGTGTACGGTCGCGTTTTAAAACCATCCAGTGAGTGTGCCAAGTTGCAGGCGAAGATCACCCTAAAAAACAGGGAAAGAGTGAGAGAGAGGAACGCGAAGGGCAGGGGTACGTACCGAGCCAAGCCTACGCGCCAGGGGAAGATCTCCGAGCGCTTTTACCAGGCGGCAAGGCGGAGCTCCATCCCAGGAGGAGGGGCGGAGGGGACTTTGTTCACTGTCCTCGCTCTCTCCTGAGTTTCTCCTTTACGGGGCACAACAACAAATAATTTCCATGCGCAATTTCTGCATTTTTCTTTCCTCGCCGGCTTACCAAACAGCTGACTGCTTCGGACAGTGCTAGAAAGCGGAAAAAAACCCCCAGCTGGCACATATCGGCTACCACTCCACCGTAGCAAGCAGAAGCTGTCAGGGTGCAACAATTTGCAAATTTGCAAAGCCTTGCATACCCCCAGGGTGAGTGCGAGGCAAAAATAGAAGTGCATACTTCGAGGCTGCACAGGCGGCACGTGGGAAAAGGTCTCGGATCCGACCATCCTCCGATCCCCCGCCCAGGCGGTGTCCCGGTCAGCGGGACGTCGGGGACCGGGGAGGGGCGGTATATCCCCCATCGTGAAGCCAAGGGGAAATCTGTGGCCAGCGCGGGAGCCACCTTGTGCAGACCAAGAAGTAGAAGAGATGGAAACAGCGAACCCGTTCGCGGGCAGCTCGCTCATCCGTTCTCCAGCATCCACGTCAACTCCAGCAGCGGGACTGAGAACGGACCCGGACCCTAGGGAGACCCCTAAGAGGACGAGGGACCCCGCAAGCCCAGGGAGCTCGCAGAGATCGACGCCTCCAAAAAAGTGCAAGGCATCGCAGGAAGCTACCGATCAGCAAAATTTTGCGGAGCTGGGTAGACTTCTGGAGGAGATCACGTCTCGGATGCTGGACAAGAGCACGCGCCATATAAATGAGGCGAC